TGCCACCAGGTTATCACAGCCAACCCATGGAAGTGTGAGAAATTGGCCTTTAAACAGCAATGTTTTTGGTAACAACTCTTCATTGGGAGATTTTTTTTTTTTTTTTTATTTGCAAGTGCTGGATGAGGTGTTTGTTGAAGATCAACACATTTTGAGACCTAACCACCTGCTATATTTGTGGACATAGCTTGTAAAGCTTGAGACTGTGACATGGTACACTGTATTGCATATTGTGCGTTTTCAGTATTCGGCATTTGTTTTTTATTGTAAAATATTTCTTACATCTTTGCACTTCTTTAGTCAGTAAGGCCAACAGTGGCATTGTGCTTCAACATTTGCAGCATCATTTGCCTATCATATGGTTCATGCCAACGCAGGGACCTCCAGAAACAGATCAGAAACGATCCAAACTTCTTTTCCAAGGTCATCACTGGTGATGAAAGCTGGTTATAAGGCTACAACCCAGAAAGCAAGCAGCAGTCGTCCCAGTGGAAGAGTCCACGTTCACTGCGACCGAAGAAAGCGAGGCAATTCAAGAGCAATGTTAAGAGAATGCTGATCTGTTTCTTTGACATGGAAGGAATTGTTCACGAGGAGTTCGTTCCTGTAGGTTCAACAATTAATCAGCACTTTAATATCGAGGTCCCGAGGCGTTTGAGGGAGGATGTGAGGAGGAAACGTCCGGACAAGTGGCGAGCACAAAACTGGCTGCTGCATCATGAGAACGCGCCGGCCCACACCGCTCTGTCTGTGCAGCAGTTTCTGGCTAAAAACAGCATGGCAGTGGTCCACCAACCCCATACTCCCCCAACCTAGCCCTTTGTCACTTCTTTCTGTTCCTTAAGATGAAGATCAAGCTGAAGAGGCAACGATTTGATAACCGAGTAGATTCAGGCGGAAACTCACGACGTGCTGAAGAACATCCCCCAAACGGAGTTCCAGAGGTGCTTCCAGCAGTGGGCCCGCTGTATCAACTCTCAAGGGGACAGCAGTGATTAGAATCTAAGGTAAGTCTACATCTTTTTATCGATACAGTCCGGGAACTTTCGGATCACACCTCGTACAGTACACTAGTTGTACCAAATGTTATTGGGAAATTATTAAATGTAATAGAAAAATATATTTTTGTATGTGTAACCTAAAAGTTTTCATTTCAAAAGTTAATGAAATCATATTGAGGTTCTACTTTATATAAATTGTTAATTTAGTTGGATCATATATGGTAACCTTTTTTTAGACAAATTTCCTCAAGAATTTTTTATTAATCAATCCACTACTGTACATAACTTGAAAAGGTTAGGAATAACAGAAAACTCATTTTCATCTCCTTTTATTTTCATAAAAATACAAAAATAGTAATGATTTATAATTGACATTATTTTCAAAACTCATGTGAACAAAATCTTCAGAAAAATCTTTATATTTATATATAGGGTATTGACACTCGTCGTGGAGTCATTTATCCTTATGTATGTCTCGGGAAGACACCCCTTAAATTATGAAATCTGAAACATCCTGTATGATATCACTCGCATGACTTGATCATCTCCTGATAAGCTGCTTGGCCACTATCTAAAAACATGTCTAATTTATCAAAAGATTGCGGCAATCTGTCGCGTTCATACTTTAGTAACGCCTCTTTCTCTTTTGATACTTGCAATTTTATCTCATACTCTTTCATTCGTACCTCATGCTCTTTCATTCTTGCCTTATGTTCTTTCATTCTTGCCTCATACTCTTTCATCTTTGCCTCATACTGTTTCATTTCGGCATCATGTGCCTTTTTCATAAATTTCATCTTCATGCTGTGACTGTCCTCTTGCCTCTGCCGACATGCAGCGTACTCATCGGTAAACCTCCTCTTTTTACTTCTGGTTGTCACTGCTGACACGGGGGAGGTGAAAGAGCAAGTGGGTGGAGGTGAAGCGACAGGAGTACCGGGTGATGTAAGAGGATCAGACAAAGGTGGAACTACTGGTGAATGAATAGGGAGTGTTGGGGAGGGTGAGGAAATTTGAATAAGAGAGGGAGAAACACAAGTAGAAGGGCCAGATAGTGAAGTACAAGCTGCACCGGAAACAGAAGAGGCCACTGACTGGATAAGAGGGCTCGTGTTAGGGACAGTTGAAGAGGTAATAAGGTTGTGAGAGCAGTAACTAGAAGAATAGCTGGGATAAGTACACACAGGAGTAGCAGAGGACAAAGCTGGAGCACGTGACTTGTGATGCTGATCTTCCATACCTGCAATTCAATATGCAACACTAACTTTAGCATACAGCCCCTTTTACCAACAGATACATACACTCAATCCCTCTTAATTCAGCATGCATTTTATTTGGAATAAAGCAGCACTTTTTCCAGATGCTAAAATATGGAAATGATTTTTGGCATGTGCTGGAATAATCTCAAAAGTGTCTTCAAAGTACGTAAATAATAAAAAAATATGAAAACTTCCAATTTATTGAAAATTCACCCAACAAAATGTTTCAGTAGCTCTAAATTATATTAGAGAAAGCCTTGATGCTCTGTACTGTACTGGGGATTTTTGTGTATATATTGGAAATATCAGTTTCTTCTTTAATATACAAATTTCGGGATAATTTGTAAATTCTGTTATTATGCCGAATTAAAGGGGGTCAAGTGTTTATTTTTTGTTTTGTTTATATTATAACTCATGAGGAAATGGTTAAGAGATTGACAAACTTTAATAACAAATGTGGATATGTGATAAAACACTGATTCAATGTTGCTGTTGCACAGCTGATATGAGTCACTTACAAACATCCATATCCAGTGTGGGCTTTTCTGCTTCATTCATTGGGCGTGAAACAAATGTCTCGTAGACATTGTCAGTCATGTTGAATTCAGGGCCCATCATGGAAGATGCAATAATAAGCTCCTCACTGGAGTAGGGAGGCTTCGGCAAAGGATCAGCACCAGTTCTCTGGACATTCTTCCGGCAATTTACCGCTTCCTGCTTAACTCTTCAGAAAAATGAAAAGTAAATAGCAACCTTAGATACAAATTGGCGGTCTGCATTACCATATTTTTCCTTGTCAGAGTTATTTCCTTATATATTGCAGTAAAAAAATAAAATTTCTAGTGTAATCCTTGTGTTCTAAGCTAATAAACTTGAATACAATACTGTACACTAATATTCCACATAAAAGTGCTTTATGGCTCGAGTCAAAATATCAGGACTTTCGACCTATTCCCATTAATTGCATTTCCACATTCAAGGTGGAATAAAAAAATTTGAAATGGGTTATATATATATATATATATATATATATATATATATATATATATATATATATACAGTGACCCCTCGTTTAACGAACACCTCGGTTAACGTAATTTCGATTAACGAACTGCCTTCCATAAGGATCTTCAATTCGGTTAATGAAAAAAAATTCGCTTAACGAACTTCTTACGAACCGACCTCAACATGTTTTCGCTTGCACTGACCGGGCAGCCAGCTTTAGTATCAGTCCGCCAATACATTAATCGGTTCTAGGGCTTAAATTCCTTACTATTTTTGTAAATATCAAGAAGTTTATACTATTCAATTATTTTAAAAGTTTAATATTAACTTTTTTAGTCATTTTAACAATTATTGAACATAATTGAAGGTAAAGTGACTAGTTTAATGCGCGGCATCCAGCCTCTTAACACAGCAAACAGGCGTCAGTCTCTCTCTGTTTTCACTGGAGGTAACATCTTGCTTGAGACTCTCTTCAACTAAACGCTTTTTTTCTGTGTTTCCAAGCAAATTATTGGTCATTTTGAAAATTATTTTACATATTGACAATATATAGTGCAGTGCAGTGTTATTTTAAAGAAAATATTCTTTATTTACAGCTAGTTTAACTTTGAAAAATACGTGTTGCCATTGTTTGAATCCAGCATGGGGCCTAAGAGATCAAGAAAAGTGATTTCAATCCAAATGAAGCAGGAAATAATAAAAAAACACGAACAAGGTATTAAATCAAATGCGCTATGCAAAGAATATGGCATGTCGGCATCAACTGTGTCGACAATTCTTGCACAAAAAGACAAATTTAAGGAAGTGAACGTGAGAGACAAATCTACAAGAGTGTTTAAAAGTAGATCCCTAATCGTAGAAACTGAGAGGTTACTTATCATCTGGATTAGGGAAAAACAGATGAAAGGTGATTCAGTTTCTGGTGATTTCATTTGTGAAAGAGCCAGGGAGATTTATGAACATTTAAAGACAGATCAACCTAGTTCTTCAGGAACAGAATTTGAAGATTTTCGGGCTAGCAAAGGCTGGTTCGAAAAATTTAAGAAAAGAAGTGACATTTTAAGTGTTGTTAGGCATGGTGAAGCTGCTAGTGCTGATAAAGAAGGGGCAGCAAAGTTTTTAATTGAATTTAAAAAACTGATGGAAGAAGAAAATTATCTTCCACAGCAAGTTTTCAATGTTGACGAAACTGGGCTGTTCTGGAAAAAGATGCCCAAAAGAACATTCATCACCAAGGATGAAGCCTCTTTACCTGGGCATAAACCCATGAAAGACCGTCTCACTCTATTGCTTGGTGCCAATGCTTCAGGGGATTTCCGACTGAAGCCTATGCTTGTCTACCACTCTGAAAACCCCAGGGTGTTCAAGCAACAGAAAGTGGTAAGAACAATGCTTGGAGTTTATTGGAAGTCCAACCGTAAGGCATGGGTGACAAGACAGTTCTTTAATGAATGGGCTATTGATGTGTTTTGCCCCTCTGTCAAGAGCTACCTAACCACCAATAAACTTCCTTTAAAGGCTCTTCTCCTCATGGATAATGCTCCTGGTCATGACCCTGACCTTGCCAGAAATTTGGAGTATAAATTTGACTTTGTGAAAGTGTTGTTTTTGCCTCCAAACACTACATCACTCATACAGCCAATGGACCAGAATGTGATCAGCAACTTCAAGAAGTTGTACATGAAGAAAATGTTTAGGAGGTGTCATCAGGCAACTTCCATTGATCCTGAACTAACACTGAAACAGTTCTGGAAGACACAATTCAACGTCCTGGAGGCTGTAAAATTGATTGTGTCATCATGGCAAGAAGTCTCCAATAGAACCCTCAATTCTTCATGGAAAGCACTGTGGCCATCAGTAGTCCATGATTTTGAGGGATTTGAGGATGACACAGAGTTGGACCAGGAGATTGTGTGCATTGGTCAGTCATTGGGTCTTGAAGTGGAGGAGAAGGATGTGGAAGAGCTTGTGATGTCTCATGAGGAGGAACTTACTCCTAATGACTTGAAGGAACTGGATGAGATGTTACGGGTAGAGGCTGACAGTGGTGAGGAGGAAATTGAAAGTGATGACCATATGTCAGCTACACAGTTGAAAGATGTGATTTACCACTGGGAGAAGTTCAGGGAACTGGCTTCAAAGCACCCAGAAGTGGAAAAAACTGAACTAGCTTTGTGTCATGTTGAGGACTCAGTGGTCTCCTTCTTTAAACATAAGTTAATGGTGAGGAGGACAGATGCCCCACAGACCACAATTGACACTTTCTTCAGTAAAAGGCAGAGGGAACAAGATGCTAGCCCTCAGCCTTCCACTTCAAGAAGGAGAGAGGATGTTCATGGTGGAGAATCTGTCAGTCCAGAGGTTCCTGACATTTTCATGGAAGGTGACTCACCTTCCAAGAAGCAGTAAAATGCTTCTCCTCCACCTCCACTTCCTTCTCTTCTCCCTTCTCCTCCTGCACCTCCCACTTCAAATGCACATCATCACCATCATCCAGGAGCCTTCTACATACACACCTCAAAGTAAGTAAATTTTTCCGCCATTTTTGTTGAAGTTAGGAAATTTTCGGTGAGCTGGAACCAATTACCCAAAAACCCATTGAAACAATGGTTTCGGTTAACGAACGTTTCGGTTAACGAACGACCTTCTGGAACGGATTGAGTTCGTTAACCGAGGGGCCACTGTATATATATATATATATATATATATATATATATATATATATATATATATATATATATATATATATATATATATATATATATATATATATATATATATCATGTAAATCCACAATGAAAACGTGGATAAGATAAATCTTGATAAAATCACACGGGAAAATTGAAACAACGGAGCACCTTAGCTTTCGTCTTTATTCAAGACATCTTCAGAGGCCTCTGAAGATGTCTTGAATAAAGACGAAAGCTAAGGTGCTCCGTTGTTTCCATTTTCCCGTGTGATTTTATCAATATATATATATATATATATATATATATATATATATATATATATATATATATCATGTAGATCCACAATGAAAACGTGGATAAGATAAATCTTGATAAAATCACACGGGAAAAGGGAAACAACGGAGCACCTTAGCTTTCGTCTTTATTCAAGACATCTTCAGAGGCAACTGGATTACATGGACAGAAAGAGGTTTAAATATACAGGGTGACCTTATTAAACATGAGGTCAGGTCATAATGATGTCATCCACTAATCCCCACACCAACACCGACACACACGTAGAGGAGCTTAAGAGATGGGGGCGACGTGACTAGTCAGGTCAGGTCAAAAATAAGGGACCCACTAAATAACTATCCTACATCTAGATCAAAGGTTTTCAAAGCATTTTTAACCTTGAGCCACTGACAAATAAATTTATGTAACATATTATCAGTTTTTAACTGACCATCACTAATGTTTATTGATTTTAATTCCTTAATCAAACTAGCTTCAACCAGAAGTCTTTCTGTGACACAAGATGATTTGAATACTTCTAAGCTTTTTTCCCAAGCAATGGGATGATTATTATTCCTAACATGACTGAAAGCAGTGCCCTGTTCGTTCATGACGGTTAGCATTCCCCGGTCACAGTCATGGGCTCGTGGGCCGTGGGTTCGAATCCTGGTAGGTTGAGGTGTTGATTGTTTGTAGAAGTCCGCGTGTTTATTGGGCTAATGAAATATATATACATATACAGACAGACCCCGACTTACGACTGCTACGACTTACGACCGTCGGGACTTACGACCGCCGCAGATTTTTTATTTAAAAAAAAAAAAAAAAAAAATTTCTTCAAATGACACGCATTTTCTATACCGAAACGTTTCCAGTTAATGTAGTCTCCATGTATAATTAGAAAATGATGGGGGCCCCATGTGCATTCAGCTGACTACATTAAAGGTAAGTGCTCAGTCACACTGTAACCATTCCTTATTATTTATTACTTTCACTGTACTGTATCCATTCCTCATTATTCATTATTTTTACTGTACTGTATTTCATTGTAGATTATTTATTAAAAAGAGAAATGTTATTTTTTTTTTTTTTATCTATGTCGGACTTACGACCTGGATTTGGGTCCCTAACCCTGTCGTAAGTCGGGGTCTATCTGTATATATATATATATTCCCCGACTTACGACTGCTTGGACTTACGTCCATCGGTACTTACGACCTGCTCTGACCTTACGACCATCGGGACATACGACCACGGCAGTCGTGACCAAAAATATTTTCAAATGACGCGCGCATTTTCTGTACTGAAACGTTTCTGTCCAGGGCGAGAGCGCGGCTTGGGTCGCCGCGTGGGTACACTCACTCAGTGGAGCGCTTACTTGGTGTTTGGCTATCGTATCCTATACTGATTGCGCTGTGAACTTTCGTTATTATCGTATTTAATTGACTTTATAATGACTGGAAAGTTTAAAAGTGAAAGTGCTGGTGGTGCTCCAAAGAAAAGGAGACAGGCAATTACTTTTGACATGAAAATGAAGATAATAACGCAGCATGAGAATGGAAAAACTGTAGCAACAATCTCACGTGACCTAGGTTTCTCGCACTCGACCATATCCACTATTCTGAAGGACAAGGAACGTACTCGTGGTGTAGTGAAAGGAACAACACCTATAAAGGGAACTATAATTTCAAAGAAAAGACAAGGTCCTATTCACGATATGGAAAAATTATTGGTGATATGGATAGAAGACCAGATACAGAAGCGTGTACCCTTAAGCCTTCTAACCATACAGGCTAAAGCAAGAAGCCTGTTCCAAAGCCTGAAGGAGCAGGCAGGAGATGAATGTGAGCAAACCTTTATAGGAAGTCATGGGTGGTTTGATAGATTTAAAAATGCTACAGTCTACACAATGTTAAGGTGAGTGGAGAGGCAGCTAGTGCCGATGTTGGTGCTGCCGAAGCTTTTAAGGAGGAGTTAGATGAAGTGATTGTGGAAGGGAATTATTTGC